TCACTGATGCCAGTAGGATCATGGTCTGGCCAACACTGAGCAGGAAGGAGAGAGGGAAGTTCTAGCTTGAAAACATGAATGACATTTGTAAAACCAAGATTTAATTTATATTGCTTGTTTTAGGAAATCTGTCTTTAACATTTCTGTTGTCTGCAGGTGTGAGAGGAAGCCCAGGAGAAAAAGGTCAAAGAGGTGATCCTGGTTTTTCTGGGATTGAGGGCTTGAAAGGATTACAAGGTCTTCCTGGTATAAAAGGACAAAGCGGTAAAGCATGGGTTTTCTTCCTAACAGTTCAGGAATCCTAATAGGAGAACAGTTGGTCAAAGTATTGGGGAGGGGGGAAGGGGAGAATCCCTCCCCCCCTTTTTTTTTTCCAAAAATTTTCATTGAATATCCTTTGAAAGTGTAGACCATTCTATAAACTGGTTAAAAAGCACAAAAATGGTCACAACAAATTATATTTAAAAAAAGAATTTTTCACAACTGTTCTCTATTTAGAAGTTTTCACTTTTTTCAATGATGAAGATAGTGATGTGCCTGCTCATGGTGTTATGGTCACATAGTGCTCAGGCTTTATTCTTGTTCTTAAATCAGTAACTTGAGAAATCTGTTATCATACAACAGAGAATGTGTTGATTTTTTACAGAGCAATTAGTCCATCTATATTTTACTACCTAATGGCCTCAACCAAGATTCAGGGTTAAGTAAACTAGGCTTTGCACAAAACACATAATGAGACAATCCCTAGTCAAAACAGGCAAAGACAAGTCAATCTACATGGAAACACAGGCACAGATGGGTAAAATGATTGCCCAAATTCTTAGGGTAAAATAGTTTGGGTTGTTTTCTTCTGTTTTAAGTACGTAAGCAATAGCTCCCTGCCATCTGTATCTACATTTCTCAGGTAGGCACAAAAATGAAGTTTGCAGTACTGCACTGAAGCGAAGTTAATGGATGTTGAACTCACAGTTTGAAGATAAGTAACATATGGCATAGCAGACTGTCAACAAGATATCTATAAACAACAACTACAGATATTGTCAATTAACAAATTTAAAATAGCATTATGTCCCTTAAAAGCACACACTTGTCTCTTAAATGGAACAGCCCTTTGGTGTCTCAGGCTGCTCCATTCTTACCTCTTTTGGTCTGGTTTTGGCCATGACACTGCAAAATAGATTATTTTATACTTTTGTTATCCAAGGCTGTGCTGTTTACCTATTTGTAAGAAAGCCCATATTAACTACCTGCAAGACTACAGATTCTGCAAAATTAGTATTTAGTACACAGTATGTTATGTTTTTCATGGACTTGGTAATAATGATGTATCTTTCTCCCATAGGTTTCCCAGGACTTGTTGGGCCACCAGGACAACAAGGAGACCCAGGTGCTCCTGGACTTCCAGGTGAAAAAGGAACTAGGGGATGGCCTGGTTTAGCAGGACCAACAGGTAATTACACTTTTCCATTAAGTCCTTTAAATATTTTGTTTGCTTTGGGATGAGGAAGAAAGAGGAACATTAGCATTTCTGAGTGATACAGCTCTTGACAGTAAATGTTTTTAGAATAGTTGTTTCCTATACAGCTCAGGTCCATTGATGAAGACTTATAATGCAAGAAAAGTCAAATCATATGAAGACCAGCTCCTGTGAATTGGCACTGATTGCAAGGGAAAGTTTTTGATAGATGGAGGACTTAATTTTCAAGAAATGTTTTTTGCAGTCATCATGAGAAACTAAAACACTACATATTCAGCAATGTGAGCATCTTTTTTCAAATGCAGCAAACTAATATTATTTTGAACAGTGCACTGGATTGGGAGTGATGTAATTCTTCTATATGACCACCAGAAAGTGGAGTTAACTGATGTCGAGCTCATAATTTTGAAGATAAGTGACATATGGTACAGCAGACTGTCAACAAGATATCCTTCAACAACAACTACAGATATTGTCAATTATCAGATTTAAAACAGCATCTTGTCCCTTAAACATGTGCTTTTATTATCTCCTGATCTGGAACAGAAAATGTCCTGTTTTTAGTAATAGCAACCATTAGGATTTTTTGGAATGCTTTAAAAAAATTGCAGTGATTCTTTTTTTTTCTCTCTCTTCAAGAGATTCTTATTACAGAACTTGAATATGTTGCCACCTTGCTGTTGTCTTTCTTGGTTTGAGCATTCTAGAAAGGCCTAGATGAATCCTAACAAAGCTGTAGTAATAAGCATATAATTACTATTATGTTTGTTGGGGGTGTTTGTAGAAGGGAGGAGAGATGGGGTTCTTCCTGGTGTAACTTTCAACAGTCAGATCACAGATCCTACTTAAAAATGTCTCTCATGACTTTACTATATAATAGGACAACAGAAATATGGAAGTCAAGGGAATTACACACTAAGCTTATACAGTATTTGCAATAAGTTTGTATATTATATGCATATTGCTGTCATTATATTGTTCCTATGTGACTAGCTTTTGAAACTGTGTTTTTTAATCAAACACTTCAATATCCTGCCAAAGAGTTTTTAGCAAACTTATTGAATCTCTGAATAAGATAATAAAGGTTTTTTAAAAAACTAAACAGGTTTACCTGGCTTACGAGGAATCAGTGGACCGAGTGGTTTGCCTGGCACAAAAGGCCTGCCTGGATCACCAGGTAAGTGGGAAACTTTCTGTGTACTTGTGAAGATACTGGGTTTCGTTGATTATTCCATTTCACACTTGGGTTGGGGTGTGTTTTCTTATCTGAGTTATTTAAAAATTAAGCACAATCCCTGCTGGAATTTTGTCTGGTAGCTTCAAGATTTTGCAAAAAGTAGTAAAGGTTAGGGGTACTCAACCTCTGGCCTGCAAGCCAAATGTGACCCCCAGACCTATCACATCCGGCCCTCAGGATCTGCATGGGTTGGGAAGTTTGGTGGCGGGGGATGCGTGACCATTAATTTGGCTGCTCTTCCCTATGCCAAGTTCCCAAACCCCAAGCCCTGCACAACTGAATCAGGGCCAAACCATGCCCTCTGTCCCTGTGGCTGGATCAGGACCAGGGCCAGTCCCTGGTTGGGAGTGGGCCATGCCCCCTTTCCTCCCCCTCCACAGGGCTGGGTTGAGGCTGGGCCATACCCCCTTTCCCTCCCGGGGCTGGGCTGCTCCCTGTTCCCCTCCATTCCCCTCTGCTGCCAGATGGTGCCTGTCGTGCTGCTCTGAGAGTTGGATCAGGTTCACCGGCAAACTTAGGCCCATGGACAGACTGGACCCTGCCTATCTGACCCAACTGGGGAAAAAGGTTGAGCACCACTGGCTTAGATTAATATATCTTAGACATTGCAACAACTAATTATCCTGGATGAATTAAGAACAGAGCATTTGAATAATACCTTTCCTTCTGTCAGGGTTAATGTCAGGGTTAGAAGCCTTAATTTCATTTTAGTATCACATTTCTGTGAGTAGTATGGTTGCATTAGGGTCTCCTGAGACATTTATTCTCATACTTAACTCTGCAACAGGTCTGGATGATTATGGGCCTTCAGGCTTCCCAGGTGGCCCTGGTGACAAAGGACAAATAGGAGACCCAAGCACTTTTGAAGGTGCCAGAGGAGGTCCTGGTCAGAAAGGGGAGAGAGGCAATCAAGGTAAGTATTGGGAAGGTGAGGGGAGAGAGGGTGTCCACATTTTAATATGTTCAATAAGGAACAAGATTTTGCTTCCAGCACCTAGTCTTATAAAATGCAATTTATGTTACAGCTCATCAGTTTTCATTTGACAAATCCAGAAGCTTTTCAGAATGCTCAATATCTGGAAAGCACATAAGAGGAGTAGCAGTTCTCAGCACGGGCCCAGTATTAACAACTGTATTGAGGGGAAAAAAAAAAAATCAAAAGTGTTTTATTATTTTTGTCATTTCCAAGTCTCCCACTAGTTCTGTGGGATAATACAGAATGCTGACATTAGTGGAACTATTACTATACTATGTAGGAGGTCCCAAAGCTGCCACCTCTGGTGATTTTATTGTTAATCTTGTGATATTTGTTATCTTTCCTTAAACCTTTAAAATCAAAGCTATTGAGCCAACTGCACTTCTCATCCCTCCTAGTCTTTTCTAGCACATCCCCACTCTGATCTTGGGATTTAAGCCTTTACCTCTGTCTGTAAAATAACTGCACATTCCATCCCCTCCCTAACCAGACACTGGGTTGAAGTCTCCTGTGATCAGCTGTGGCTGACCCAGCAGACCTTACTTAACCTTTCACTAGCTAGTGTTTTATGCCTTCAGGAAATTAGGACAGTGATATCCAGTGACCAAATAGCACCCTTACATTAGCATCCTTTTAGAATAAAAACACTTGACAAAAAGCCAGGCCTAATAAACTATAATCATGCCGCCCTCTCTCTAAGGCTTACCACTCCCCAGATCTGGGAAAGTCCAATTTTTCTGATGCTCATCCCAAAGCCTCTTTCTGTCTTGGCCAACCCATCTGTCACATCTTTCCCTCGTGAGCAGGGTTTTTTATTTGGAATGCCTATGCTGTCGAAGCTCTCAACCTGGCAAAATGAGGCCTGCTTCTTCATTGGAGACAGGCTTAGAGGAACCTTAAAGCAAATAGCTTTCCTCGCTGTCTTTTTAAGTAAGTGCTGAGATATTCTTTTAATAAAATGGTTCTATTAGATATAGATAAGAACGTGACCAAAAAAAAGTTAATAACACCTTACCCCAAGCAGCTTTTTACTTTTTTTTTCTATTCCATTTCTAGATACCAGGTCCCTCCCAAGCCCCAAAAATCCCCTTAATGTTAGCAGCTTCACCATGTTTTAGCATTCCACATTCTCAAGGCCTTGTTACACATTCATTGTATGTGGTTTTTGGAGCTCTTAACCCCCTCTTG